AAGAGGCCTTAACTGAGACTAAATGGTCAAATGCCTTGTAAATGGGCTTTTGCCAGAATATGCAAACAGGATTTTGGGGTTTGTCTTTTTGGTCTTGTTTCTAAAATTTAAGAGAGCTACACATCACTGAGTATTTTTTTGTGTATGTAAGAAAAACACTTTCACAGGTTTCCACAAAGATGAGGCCCCGCATGGCAACTTGGTTGCTCCCCAAAATCATCCTTTTTATCATTTACCTTTTTTATCATTTTTCTGCAAAAAGTTTTGTCTGCTTCCATACCCTGGTTATGGGGATCAGGCTGGGGACAAGAGGAGCCTCCAGGAGTTGGCGCCTGGGGATCCAGAGCAGCCTCCCATCTGAGCAGGGCTTGGCCATCCCTTCCCAGAAGCAGAAGGCATGTCGGAGCAGCAACACCAGGAAGCAGATCATGCCAAACAAGATGCAGGGTCATTTCTAAGATATAAGAATTCAGGAGGCACATTGTGATTTGCCAGCTGTTAATGTTGTCCTGCACAGAGCTGGTCCTGGCCTCAGCTCAGCTACAGTGAAGGTTTGTCTTTTTGCATTGATACTTATCAACACCTTTAATCAGAAAAAATAGTACAGGGCCAGGAATAATTCCATTGTACAGCAGGAGTTAATATACCTGGCCTACTGCACACACATGGCTACTTTCTGCCAAGGGGTCTTAGTGAGCAGATTGGTCAGGTTTGGCAGTTCATAAATAATCTGTAATTATCCACTGGAAACAGCGTAGTTACACCTTAACTGCAACACATCATTACCATTCCCTTATTAGTCTGACCAAGCTATTGAGATGGATACATCTAAACAGAATAGAGGCACGACCTTCACATTGCTGAGGCTGTGCTACTGCCTCCTTTCCCTCCTCCTCACCAGTGCACTACCCCCACCCCAGCAGTGCTAGCTGTAAACTCGAGACTGCACACTCTTGGGTATAGCCAGCTGTGCTGCTAGAGGGGAAATCGGAGCATATGCACACTCCAAAATGAAACTCAAATAACAGCAGAGAAAACAAAACAAAGCTGCTTGTGTAAGAGAAGACAGAGTCACACTCTTTCACATTAATGAGGGAAGGATGCCCAAGTGGAGTCTGACACTCCATCACAGGAACATCTGCAGAAGAAGTTTTGAAAAGGTCAAGAAGTTATGATTTGCAATGGAAAAATACTCAACTGCTATCTGAACTGTTCTTAATTGAACTTGACAGAAGACGTGTGCACTGACACACCGAGGATATTCAGAAACTGAAGCTGGATCAGCTTCCTAATGGAGCAAGAGAGATATGTATAAACTGTTAAAGAGGCTGAACTTTCACTGGAATGGTTGTTTAAAAAAACTAAAAAACTTGATGCAATGAGGAACAAAAGCAATTATAGCACACATTGAACAGAACACATTTAAAGTACAGCTGCTAGTTCTTACTCATTTTGAGGGAAAAATAATCACTTATTTTGATGGGACAAGACCAAAAATACAAGATAAATGGAGTTTTAAACCTAGTTAATTATTGTAGCTGAATATTTAGTTAATAAAAGCAATTGATTTTTTTGTTCAGACTACATCCAAAAATAAGTGATTAGTCTGAAAGCAAAAAGCCATTGTGCTAAGAGAGCAGACTTTTTCTGTTACCAGTACAACAGCTTTCTGTGTGCTGTGGGCTTCTTCAGGCAGGGTAACTGCCTTCTATGCCTCTGAGTAACTCCTAATGGACTCCTGATGCTGACTGAGTGCTAGAAAAAAGAAACTACACAGCCTCCCATCCTCACCTCATAAAAAGTATATATATCTACCTGAATCTATTTGATTACAAGAATCTACTTCAAAAACACACTCACCCTGCAAAATGGAACCGAGGAACCAAGTCCTATTCTCCTTTCACATACAGCTTGCATCTATAGTTAGCAGCTAATACCACATTCCTTAAATATTTTTCTTTCTAGAAAGAAGACACCTCCAGCATCAACTTTCTTTAGCCCATACCATAATGAAGTAGCTTTTCCCAAAGCTTTTAATTCTACCTCAATTCTATCTTAATTCTACTGTATTCTGTGAGCAATCTTTCCCAATAGAGGAAAACTACTGGTACTACTCAGCATGTTGGGATGCATGCCAAATGCTTGGTAGCTGTGGGTCTTTGGTGGTAGGTGCTTACACCTGTACAGTCTTGTAATAATTTATTCTGAGAAAGGGGTAAAACTCTGGTTTAGCTGAAGTTAAAGGAATTTTTTTTCTTTAAGTTGATTTACTTACATTTGGATCTCCCAATCATAAAATGGGAGTAAGAGAAACCAAAGGCTGGAAGTGTGACCGACACATTTTGAACAGTGCATGTAAATGAGTCCAAGTGAAATGCAGAAGTGGTTCCACAAGCAGCATTCCCTGATATGTCTCAGCTGAAACCTGACCTTCAGAATATTGGCTAGGAAAACAAGAAGTCAGGAGCTATATAATCCATAGTGACCTAAAGAAGAATAAAAGGCCCAAGTTTCCCTCAGTAGGTGGGAAAGAAGGGAAGTACCTTTAACCCCCAGCTCTACCAGTGCCTTTCCATGTCTTTTCTGCATGCAGGAACTGCAGAAGTGCATGTGTAACTGGGAAGTAGTAATTTTCTAGCGCGTGCCTTTTCAGCAGCTGTTAGGACATCTGGATAGAAATCCATCTGGTGCTTAGCATAGCAAACACCACCATAAACTTTCAGAATCCCCTTCCTTTTGCACAGTTACATGAACATGAAACAACAGTGGGGCTCAGAAGTAAGTTTTGCTTCCAGAATAGGAAGTGGGGAGCTATGAAAAGAAAGAAGAATTTTTCAACATGAAGCTTCAGAAAAAGTCCTAACTCCCTTCAAAGTCTCAGGGACAAACTTTTGACTCCCCAAAGCCAGCAGCATCTCCAAAGAACTGTAGAGAGTTTGATTTCATCCCATCCCTTCCTGGGTATTTTTCCATTAGGGTTTGCACAGAGCCTGCAGGATTAGGGAAGCGCCAGCTCTGAGCCTGTAAAGTTATGGTTCTGTTTTCAGTAGTTATATATATTGTGCTCTGTATTGAATTAAAACTACAATAAAAGTCCTCTCACTTGTTACTGTATTTGTGTAATGCTCAAATTAGATGGGAAGAGTTATTTGAGAGAAACTAATCCAATGCACGTCCAAAACCACATGAGGTTTTAATATAGCAGCTATCTACTAACACACTGCATGGTGAAGTGGGGAAATTCAGCCAGACCTGTGTTGCTCAATGTCAAAGACAGGCAGAAATTCCACTTCTGGCTTATCAACTTTCTCACTGCCCAGGACAACAACAAGAACTCATTAAAAAAAGTGTGAAAATCTTCTTGGTAGGATAATAGCTTAACATGATTTTGTGCTTCAGTCAATCATTTGCTGTCTTTACATTCCCAATGGAAATCTCTGGCACCTGAGAAGTCAAATATTGGGAGGTTGCTGGGCTACACAAGAGCTACAGATGTGTGTCACTAGAAGAAGGAGGATCTTGTTTCAGGCTCCTGATCTGTGAAAGAGCCATGGGTAGAAGATATCCAGAGGAGTTTTCAGGCTTCTTGAAATATTTTGGCCCTTCATTTCCTGTGTATGTGTAGCCTGGCCTATATAATTTGTATGATGTGCAAAATACCATGTAACTGGTTGCTACAAGAGATGCTTCTAACACTGGATCTTTTAATCAATTTACTGTTTTAAGCTCAAAAACTATTTGCTAATTTTTTTCCAAGACCAATGTAGTTTGCCTCGTGTACATATAAAGGATTTGCGCTGCACTCACAGAAGCCAGGTATGCAGTGTTAAAAATTTATCCTTCATATTTACATTATACCTATTACAACAGTTTTTGATGATTTCAATTGGTACTAAATTACCTTTCATCTTTCATCATTCATAAGGAAGTGGAATGGCAAATCTACCTTGACCCTAGAGGCATGGATATGTGAGTTGCAAGGAAAAACAACCTCAAAAGGGGGTTCTTCTTCCATGAAAATTGCTGCTCATCGGGCCAAAGGGCATGGCACTGTGTGTATCCATTGCATCCCCCACCATGCACCAGCCTCTGGGGAAATGGAATGTTATAATGGACTGTTAAAGACTACACTGAGAGAAACGGGTGTGGGGACATTCAAACATTGGGGTACACATTTAGGGAAAGCCACCTGCTCAGTCAACACTAGGGGATCTGCCAGTTGGACTTGCCGTGCCCAAACCAATTTATTACATACTAAAGAAAGGGACAAATATATAGTGCACATAAAAAATATGCTGGGGAGGACAGGCTGGGTTATTCCTGTCAGGCAAAGGCAAAGCCATCTCTGAGCTTTTGCTCAGGGAGCCAGAGGCACATCAGGGGTGATTTGGGATTGTGAGGAAGTCTGATATGTTCCCCCAGGGGATTTTATTCTGGTGCAAATAGCCAATGACTTGAATTGTATGATGCTAATTCTATATAATACTATATGTAATCCCTACTATGGTTGCTATAAACAGTATCAACAGTAGCACAGTAACAACTGCCCAGATTAATGAAGAATGAAATAATAGAACCAGACAAGCACAACAGTGATGGAACCAGAACTGGCTTCGGTGCACAATGATCCAACACCACAGACCATTTCTCCTGCCCTTTGGACTGCTGTGACAGATGGATCCCAAAATCATTGACTAAATAAACTCAATGGAAATTTTGAAGGGATGGCCCACAGACAAAGGGAATGATGCCTGTGTGTATATATCCAAAGACAGGAAAGGATGCACTGGAAAGTCATGCTTGGGCATGACATAAATGGTACAGAAGAAGGAATGGGTGCTTTGCTCATTTCAGTTCAGAGAGAGTTAATTTTCTTGCTAGTAGCTGCTATAGTGCTGTTTTTGGGATTTAGGAGGAGAATAATGTTGACACACTAATGTTTTAGTTGTTGCTAAGCAGTGTTTACACTAAGTCAAACACTTTTCAGCTCCCCACACCACTCCACCAGCGAGTGGGCTGGGAGGCATAAGAAGCTGAGAGAAGACACAGCCAGGACAGCTGACCCAACTGGCCAAAGGGATATTCCATAGGACAGAACGCCACACCCAGTAGATAAACTGGGGGAAGCTGGCTGGGAGGAGCCAATCACTGCTTGGGAACTGGCTGGACAGCAGTCGGCAGGTGGTAAGCAATGGCACGGTGCAGCACTCGTCTCTATCTCAGCTCATGGATTTCACTTCTTTTTCCACAATACTCTCCCCCATCCCACTGGTGCTGGGGTGTGAGAGAGTGAATAGAATTTGAGGGGGGCATGTTCAGAGTCACACATAGCTGGGGACAAAGGCTGCTGTAAAGGATGCTTCTAACACAGGATCTGTTAATCCGGTTTTGAGTTCAGCTATTTGAAACAACCAACTGTTTTAAACTAAAAAAATTTTGCTACTTTTTTCAAGAGCACTGTGGACTGCCTTGTGTACACACACTGGACTTGCACTGCACTCACAGAAGTCAAGTATGTAATGAAAAAAAAAATCCTTTATATTTACATAATATTAACCATTTTTGATGTTCAAATTGGTACTAAATTACCTTTCATTAAAAAGCTGTTCACTGCAAGCAGTAAAGAGCAGAAGTACTAATTGCAGTGGGAAGCTAGAGATGATTTGGGGGAAGTCCATAAAGTTTAAAACTGAAACGCAAAAATTAGGAACATACATGAAATGAGCTTTGGTTCAACCAGAAGATTGATAAAGACCGAGGGGTGTTTGCATTGGCAGTTATGAGTTGAGGATTTCTGCGGAGTGGTACACTTAAAAAGTTGGATCAGAACTTCAGTAAATTACTGATATAGATAAATATATACACATACATATACATACTCTGTCTAAACAGTAACATCTCCAACCTGAACAAGCCTTTTGGCAGATCAGAACTGGGAGGGTTTTGTTTTTAGAAAGAGAGAATTAAAACAAGGGTTGTCCAGGACTATATTCTGCCTGAAGCTCTGACTGAATTTATTTCTCATGTTATGTAGTTTATCAGAATCTTATCCATGGAATAGTTTGCTAAATTAACAGCTCAAACAGAATAGACTGCATTAAATGTCGTGGGCCAGGGGAAAATTAATTCCAAAGTTTGAATGCACTTACATTACTGTGGATTTACGCCAGTGTAAATGAGAGAAGAATTTGGCCCCTGACCTTCTCCAAGCAGGTCATTATAGTTGAAATAGTAACTGATCTTAGAAAAACATTTTTGCTGCGAGGTATTTATTTCTGTATAAAGGTTTATGGAACATCATATTCTTTGCCCTTTAAGACTGATACTCACATATGTAAACACCACTGGGCCATAGCTTAATCCAGCCTCTCTAAATCTGGCTAAAACAATGGAAATATCTTCTGAAACCATTGTGGGTTGTATCCAATATAGTTAAAAACATCTGACTGCAACCGCAAATATGCTGGTATTTGGTTGTGCTATAAAAACATTTTTATGTCAAATACAACTGGGACTAATACAGTAAACTACAAGTATGGTTAACCCTTGGAATGAACCACATTTAGACACTTGAAAGTTAAGGTAGTCTGCACTGATTACATTTTCTTATGAAGAACATAAAATGAACATAGGGTATAAAAAACTAATTACTAGTATTAATAGAGTAATTGGCACTTACATAACACCTTCCATGCTATACTATAAACATACCAGCAATGTGATCCTGAAGCTACTTGCTCTCCTGAGTGCTCAAGATAAAACTTCTGCTTGTTAAATGAATAAACCTGTGCCCCCTTTCCCCTCCACACCTACATGTGCTCAAGTGCACACACACACCAGGAACCATTTCAATGCTCACCAAACCTGGTGTTACCAGAGGGTTTTAATCAGTGCTTAGAAAAGCACCAAAGAGGAGAGGAAGGGAAAGTTGAGTTAGGTGGGGCTGCGAGGGGAGTGTTTAGCTGGCACAGAGTGATGTTACACAGAAAGGCAGGTGGGACACTTGGTTACTACAAAAAAACCAAAAAGCATTTAAATAGAAGTAATTGAGAATTTTTGCTGATGCAACTGTTTTATTCCAGGACAAGGCAGAATAGTATTGAGTGTAGTGCAGGGCCTTGGATGTGCTGCCCAGGCTCTTGTGACAGAGCTGCTCAGTCCACCATCTGTTCAACACACAAATAATGGAAATGTTTGGGGTGCACATGTAAAATGTATTTATTAAATAATGTATATCTTTAAATAAAACTGGTATCTGACAGTTAAGCTCACATAAATATATAATGTAGAATAACAAAAGATGCTCAGGAACCATTAACTAAATGGACTCAAGAACTGCAAATTCTACATTTAATGAAAAACCTTTTGGACAGAGGCTGCTGACAAGTCTTGCTGTGGTGATGAAGAAGACACCACCCATAACTGCCCCCTCTGGTGACACTGCTGGAGTTAGAGCAAAATAGGCAGAAGGGAGGAGTGTGCCACTGCAGGGACATTTGCCTGTCAGTACAGGCATCATGGCTCAAAGGATCTTTCTTCACGGCAAATTCTCAAATTGATTAATGCTTCCATGATTAATACTTGATTAAGGCTTCCATGCTTGCACCATGTCCCTGCTTTGGAAATCTATATTTGTTCTGTATTACATTAATAAAATATTTATGATGTACAAGATGTTTGTTTCATTCTCTGTGCCATTCCTAATACTTCTCTATAGAGCATCTGGGGAATGAATGGAAGCTTTCATCTACAGGGACTCCTCACCTGCTCCCTGAGCGGTAACAGCTAATTCAGTGCATGCTTTGTATAGAGCAAGAAGGTTTCTCTCTGTATGCATTGCTTCTGCAATTTCATCTGCCATTCAGTGTCATGCACACAACTAATTTTAAATGCCATTAGCTAAAATAATCTTGGATCACTAGCAAATACTGTCATCTCACCGTTGTGCAGACCACTCGTGAATATGTTGACCAGCTCAAGCTCCACACCAGATCCCTGTGGGAACACACCACTACCTTCCTAGCCGTTGACTCACAGCCATTGCTTCCCATCTTTCAAATCCGTGGGGGATCCATGAGACTGTTCTGAGAAGGTATAAGAATCCTTTAGCAGGGAACTTGTCAAGCCTCTCTGGCAATCCATACCCAGCATTTCAAATAGGTCACTCTTGTCCATGTGAGTGGTTGCTCCTGTATGCCCAATAATTACACTATTTCCTGACTGGCAAGTCATTAAAATATTGTTTCCTACTATAATATAAATGTCAGTTTTACACTTCTAAAGTAAATAAACAGGGCTGCTATGGATTTCAGCAATATTAATTTTACAGTTATGTGTAGAATCAGTGAAAATAAGATAACCTTCTCCAGCTGCTGGATAATCCAAACCTGCCTAAGTTTCCTTGACCTTCACTGGGAAGTCATCGTCAACTTATTTCAATTAATTTACAAATATTAGTGCCATCTGTTTTTGTAGGAAGCAGACAGTGTTTTTTATTTGCACATTTACTGCAAATCTCTTTATCCTCACAATCTAATTACTTGCACAATTTTAATAAGACCATATATATGTGGCTGAATACACTAAATACTTAGAGCAGGTCATCCAAGCAGGTACACAAGCAGATTCCTCACTTGACTGCTATCCCCATCCAGCCACACACCAAGTCTCACTGACTTTCTCACATATGTCTGCCTATGTGACAACATCCAAACTTGGACCTGATCCTACTCTATTCAATTAAAGGGGAACGTTTTCAGCAGTACTATAGAAGTATAAATGTAATACTGTGAATCTTGTCAGCTGCCCAGCTACAGCTCTCAGCACCTTTCAGAATTAAGCCAACATCTTAACAGTCATGCAATTAACCTGTATGCTAATAGTTCAAATTGCCATATCTGAAAAGATTAAAAGCAAGTACAGTAAATTGCTACTCAGCCTAGCTCAACATTCAGCCTCGTCCTTCCACAACAACATTGTGATCACATGGTGAGCTCCTGTCTTAGATTGATGATCAATATCCACCACAGCAAGATAACAGATAACATCCCTTAGTGTACTTCATCATTAGGCATCCTTTTAAAATGAGCTGCCAGCATTGTTAAACTTCCCAACTATTTGATACCAAATTGGTCAATCCTTATTTTCAGGCGGATACTGTTCTACTTTATCCATTGAAAAATGTTCTGTTATCAGTTCACATTTTGGTTTGTCAGTTACTTCAACTGCATTTTGTTAGTCAAGAATATGAACCCCTGGTTTAATACACAATACTGAAGAGCCAAAGTTATCCTCGACAAAATAAACAACAAAGTTTCAGTAGCTTATTATAGTATTTGCTTGCTTCATGTTTTGATTTGAATATTTAAAATTAGATTTCTATATTCCAGTATAGAAAAGCATTTTGAATTAGGTAAGAAAACATAATGTGTATTTTAGTTTTGGATATCAATGAAACAGAGAAGAAGCCTTAATCATGTAACTCCTCTGATCTTCATAATTGAGACCATCCCATTTGTACTGTATCTCATATGTAACAGATGAAAGAAAATGTGTGGGAGGTGAATTTATTTGTTTTTCAGAGCTACAACAGCAGCTGGTCAGCAGGTTCAGTCCAGTCCTCTCTAGTCAAAGTAGCTCAGGACTAGTCAGATTGTGATCATTTATTAGAAGTTTGGGAGGGAATGCAAATTGTTATTCAAAAGCAGACAGCTGGAGGGCAGGAAAAGTGGGGAGCAGCCATGAATCATTAATATCTGTTTCCTAGTCTGATTAGTTTACTAATGAGGAAAGAGTGGGACATGTCTCTTACTCTTTACCCACATATATTTTCATATTTATTTACACCTTACTGTAACTATATACATTTTAAGAAAGGGACAAATTACACCAAAATAAAATTCCTGCCAAGTTCTGATGAGAAATCCTTCCCCTTCCTGCTCCTCTTCCTTCCCTCAAATGGACACTGCCAGCACATTAGAGCTAAGCAACAGCTGAGAGAGGGACAAAGAAAGCACAAAACGCCCTCAGTGTAACAGCAGTCACGGACTCAGACACAGGAGTAACCCCCACAATAAATATCCTTCTGGCTTCCAGAGAAGAAATTAGGAGGATGAGCTAGCACAGCTGAGCTCATGTACATGGAGGACACCATCACATATCTCTGTAGGAATGGAAAGCATGGCAAAAGCCCTTTCTGCACTCCTCTGATTGCCAAATACCTTAGTTGTGCAGGGGCACCACCTTTGGTTTTTCCCCAGGCAGAGGGTAGGAAGCCCACAGCCTTTTGCTGCACCCGAAGAGAACTTTAAAGCAGACTGTGATTTTCAAAACTGAAGGTAATTTGTCCTGTATTATCTCTAGGCTGCCTTCTTGGAGAACATGTACAGAAAATAAACTGCACAGTGGAGGAATACCTTTCATGCCTTCCATACTGGAGCACACAAAGGCTCCAAAGATTTTATTAATTCAATTCATCCGCACTCCCAAACCTTTAGGCAGTGGGGAGTAAGCTATTTATCTTTTGGTTTCTTGTAAGGAATTCACACTAGACTCACTGCTAAATCATTTTCCCTGTACTACTAGTACAGGAAATTAACTATAAATGAACTCTGAAAACAAATAATTCTGCTGCAATTTTCCACTGATATTACTTTACAGTTTTAGTACATCTAGGAAAAGCAATATAGATTAAAAAAAAAAAAAAAAGAGTTACAACTTATTTATATACTGATCCTAAAATTATGTCCTTTCCTCTTTTAACAGGCTCTACTTATAAGATATTTCTTGCTTATTCTGCAGAGGTATACTGAAGCTGGAACCATCCTTATGACTACAGCATCATAGCACACTTTCACAGTTGACACTGAAGCTAATTTATTTCTGAGACTACTATTTACTGAAATCTGTGGGAGAAGAGATAAAAGCCAGTTTCTTGTATTCTCTGCTATAAAGCAAACAGCTTCTGATGTTTATATAAATGGTGATATTGAGATATGCTGTGCTTTTTCAGTAGTTAGTGATTTTTTTTTCATAATTTCCTTTCTGTGCAAACACTACTGCATTTCTTTAGAAAGATTAAGCACCAAGGATTTATGCCTTCATTAAGGTCCATGTTTTGAAGAAATAAGAGATGGTGGCATTTAAACACAGACTATGCAGTTTGTTCTGAAAATGTTTTTTAAGCAACACACAGGGGTAATTGTGGAGAATTGCAGTCTGGGGGGGATCTACTCCATACTGCTTGAAAATCCCTTGATAAAGCCTTACAGCAACAGATTGTCAAATTATTTGACAAAGAAAATTTGCTGAGAGATATTTATTGAAATATGGTAACTAAGAGTAGGTATTCTGCAAGTTGAGGGTTTTTAATACGTATTTACAGGGCAAAGGAATTAGAAATTACAATGCTCTGAGCTAAACACAAATAGCAAAACTTCATTTTTGCTCCACTGTATTGTGTTTATTTTAAGAAATATAAATCCTCTAGAAAATCAATAATGTGCATTCACATCAGGGCTGGGTTCTGAGCACTAAGTGGGAGCTGGAGTGTGCAGCAAACTGAGTGTCTGACTTGATGGCAAGGGCAAGTCTCCTGTGCTCCAAAAAGCAGGCAGTAAACCTTACACACTTTATAGCAAAAGAGCCATGTGGAAATGAGGTTTTCCACCACTACAGATTTCAGGCTACAGTCATACCCATCAATTTTAATGCAGTTTATCATTTAAATAGCTAGGGCCAAAATCTACAGTAAGGATCTGAAGCTGAAGTCTTTATAGGATGAGTGGGAGTAGAATGTGCTCCTGGTTTCTTTGCAGCAGTACAGTGTTAGGTAGTAGGTGTTAGAAGTGAAAAAAACAATTTTCTTTTGTCATGAAAACATGCAAATCTATAAATTGAACTGTCAATTCAAAAGGAGTTTTCTGTGAGAAATCTTGAACCAGATGTTTTTGTGTGAAGTCCCAGCTTCACTGAATTGAGTGGATAAAACATTAGCTCCTTCACTAGAGACATTTTTTGTTCTAATTCCTTCAAAATTAACATTTCCCTACAGAAAATATTTAAAACAACTATTTCCCCCCTTAATTTTTATATTTTTTTTATTCCCCCCTCCCCATTAGGACTCACTTTTTTTTTTTTTTTTTTTTTTTTTTTTTTTTTTTTGCCAGAAGCACTTTGGTCAGGCCTACAAAGGAGTTGCAGACAGAAGCCATGAACAGATGTCCTCTTGGGAACCCTGCTGTGAGTTGGAAGGGGTTACTACTCTCAGCTGCTCAGCACCATTCCATGCTCTCCTCATTAAGGATCACCCCCACTGATGTGCTCATTGAACAGTTTGTATGACCACTTCCTACATGGTGCAGCTTCAGGGTGAGCCTGTTATCCTGGTACAGACCAACGATGAGCAAAACAAATGGAGCTGATTTTTGCTTAAAACAAACGAGGGAGCTCCTGCACAAGTGGTGTGAGTGGATGGAGAGGGAAGCAGCCTTTGGCAGGGGAAGTACAGCAAGTAGCTAAAATGGAACTTATTCTGGTGACATGGCCGGATTTGGAGAAGTCTGTCTGTGGCTCAAACTAGCAGTTCCTCCAGTGTGTAATGGATGCAGTTACCCAGACATCAGAAGGAATCTGGCTCCAAGACAATCAACTAGAAGAGCATTTGTCCCAAAAGCGGTATCACAGGCATTGAAAGCTACTAGGAATTACAGAAAACAGCTACCCAAGCTGCAGGTCAATAAGAATCACAAGTAAATTAACGACAGTGTAACTTCCCTACAAAAAACACGTTCTTGTAAATTCCCAAGCATCAGCATCTTCTGACTACTTTACAGCTTTTGGGTGTATTTTGGCCCGTGAAATCTGCCTGATGTGCTGGAACCCAACTGCCCTCACCAGACAAGCAAACAAGCAAACCTCCTCTGCCACGCAATTCTTTCAGGAATTAAGAAACATTCATAGGGGTTCTCACATCTTCCTAACGACAACAAACAGTTAGTCAAGTTACCTTTGTTAAGCAAACCAATTTTCATTGCTTTAATTCAAACGGCCTTAAAATAGAATTCTTGCCTGCTTTATTTTGTCAGATGCAAAGAAAACTGAGAAACTGTATCCATTGTTCCTTAAAAGAGCTTATTAGTGAAACAAAGACCTTTTTTTTCCAGTGAGTGCTGTTTGTGCAGTTACTTCATGACATTTATTTGGATTCCGTCCCAGGGGAAAAAGGCCAAATTCAGTTTCAGCACTTGCCTACTACAGCATAAACAGTCATTAGTTAACAGATCTTTTTTGGCGGTCTTTATGTAGCCTCCAACATCAAAGCACGTGATATCCATGAAATAATCAAAGCAACATATGTACACTGAAGCACTGTACGTACATTATTTTTCAGTAGCCTAGCAATCCTCAGAAATTTGAAGAGGTTCTCCTAGGCCTTGAGCCAAAGCCCTTGGAAGCTGATGCTTTATTTTTTTCCCCTTTGACTGCAATAGATGCCAAGTCTGGTCATCAGATAATCACTGCCATGTTAATGGCAAACTACTTTCCATTTTTGTATTAATTTCCTGCTCAAGGAAGATACAGGATCAAAACCACTGGAGAATGAAATCATTTGCCCTGCTTCTACACAGGGCAGAGAATGCCTGGGTAACAGCAGCCAGATCCTCTCCTAGGGCTTTACTGATTCATCCTAACTGTGGCATGGAAGAGTGAATGGATACTTCCTTTACCACAGCTTTCCCCCTTATGAAAGGCAGTACAAAGCCCTGCAAAAATCATGGTGTTTTTTGTGCTGTGCCCACTAGAATTGGGAGCAAGGCCTATTTATTTTTTCCTCTAATGCCAAGATGCTGGCAGTCATTTCTCCTCCAGGTGCACGTTCTTAGGGAAATACTGGCAATCTCAATACTGGCTATCTCATACCTGGCTTTGCCTCCCATTTTTCTACATCCTGCCACTACCTATATTTTCAGATCTCAGGTAACATCATAGTTTTTCTCCCAGCCCTTCAAAGAAAACAAAAAAATCCAACCAAAACTAACAAAGTAACACATTGGCCAACCCCTCCTAACATGAACAAGTGACATTATATGAGATGAGTCAGGGAGCTAAACCTTTTCCTGCTGTTAGCAGTAGAGAGTCCTTCTGCCCTTGCCCTGCATTTGGTCTTGGGCACTGCTGAGAACTGGCTTTTGAACAACAGAGAGGTGCATCTATAAAGCAACAGGCTGGCAGGCCAAGGGAGGCGGTGCTGCCCCTCTGCTCTGCCCTGCCCTGCTGAGAGCCCACCTGCAGCTGCATCAGCTCTGGGGGCCCAGCACAGGAATGACAAGGACCTGCTGGAATGAGTCCACAGCAGGTCCACCAAGATGATCAGAGGGATGGAGCACCTCTCCTGTGACAAAAAGCTGAGGGAGTTGGAATTGTTCAGCCTGGAGGAGAAAAGGCTTTGGGGTGACCCAGTTGTGGCCTTCCAGTAGCTGAAGGGAGCCTACAGGAAAGTCATTATAGAGAGGAACTATTTATAGTGACAAGACAAGGGGGAATGGCTTCAAACTGAAAAACAGTAGGTTTAGATCAGATGTTAGGGAGAAAATGTTTATTATGAGGCGCTGGCATGGGCTTCCCAGAAAAGCTGTGAATGCTCCATCCCTGGAAGTGTTCAAGGCTAGGCTTGATGGGGCTCTGAGCAACCTGGGATAGTGGAAAGTATCCCTGGCCATGCCAGGGGGGTTGGATCTGGATTATCTTTAAAGTCTCATTCAACCCTGGCCATTCTATAATTCTATGATTCTATGAAAAGTCCACTGTCAGAAATGGTTGTGAATATGCAGCCTGATTTGATTAAATGAAATCTATTTTCATGAAAGAAATCTGCAATGTGTACTGGCAAAAAAGCACAGCAGACAAGTTTTGTTGAAGCTGAAAGAGTTCAGCTTGGAGTTGGCTTAGGGGGAATATGGATACTTCTGGAGAGTGGAACCTAAAACTAAACCCCCATAAAAAGCGACTGTAATTAGTTTATTGTTAGCTGAGCAAAAACAGAATTCTGAAAAAGAGTGTGAGAGAGCAGTAGAATTAGTGCATGGGTAAAGGACTGCAACAGAGCTTAAATTTTACAAGAAATAACTGATGGAGTAAAGGCAGTATTCAAAAATACATAAAATCCATGAGGGTCAAATAGCAAAACATAATTAATTTTAAAATAAAATATACTTGAAGATTGCAATAAAGGTTGACATACTTGAAGGTTGAAAATAAAATGAATTTAGTGGAACTATTAAAGGCAAGATCCAAATCCCATTGAAGTTGGTGGAAAGACAATCACTGACTCCTACAGCATTGGAGCAGGACCAAAGAGAACAACAAAGAAATTTCCAATGACTGAAAATGTATCAAGAAAATCTCAGTGGTTTCTTCACATCTGTGTTTGATAACAAAGAACACTGGTGACATTCATGAAGGATGCGTTCCTGGGTACTAATGAGTACCCAAAGTGAAGGAATTTGCGAAGTAACCAAGTACAGGAACAAAATAAAGACAGATAAGTAGTAATGGATTATATGCACAGATGAAGCACAGCATTTTTTGAGTTTATCTGTGCACTGTCTAATTTTTCCTGCCACGTGGAGGAAAGTCTTTGAAATTGGTACTCTAGAGCATTTTTGAGTACACTGGGCACCAAATAATTGAATGTCGATTGCTAAAATTCAAATAGAAGGCTAATATTTTAGATTATTTTCCCTTTTTAAAGGAATTTTATATATATTGGCCAATTATTAGTAAATGAAATTGACTTTTTTGGCCATTTCTTCTAGAAACACTCCCTTCACAAAAAACAAGCCATGATATGATTTGCAATGAGACACAGAGTATTTGGACTGAAGGTCTGGACTCTGTCTTATTTCTGGTTAGTTTTATAGACAACAACAACAACAAAAAGCCATGCCAACAATAAGAAAACTAAAATATTTCTGAATATGAAATACCATGGACATAGAGCACACTCACTGGATTTAAATATGTGATTATCAGTATGAACTTAGGCATGTCTGAACAAAACACTTTGTATCTTTGTGTATAAACATGCCCACTGGCAATCCATGGTTCCTTGTCTCAACACATCCTTAGGCATTGCAATGAATCAGAGAACTATAATTTTCTAGGCTATCACCTTAATAATTCTTGTGTGCTCGGCTATTCCTTTGTTCCCACAGGACACTGTCACAGCTGAATGCAGAAGTCTGGACTGGTGAATTACTGGGGGTTAACTGCAAGTTGCCAAGGGTGTTTTGTACACTACTTTTCTGTTAATTGTTTTTTACCTGCCATGCCTGTTCCAGCTGGAGAAGCTGGGAAAGACAAGGCACTGGAGAAGCTGGGAAAGACAAACACCAGAGAAGCTGCATATGTACTGCACTGGAAGAAATAAAATGGCATTTGCAAAGTCAGATGCTAAGGCTATTTAGGAGAAAACTTTAAGTATGCTCTTCCGTTGGGTAAAGCAGATAAAACCAGACCACGCAGAGATGTAAACATGCAGAGCTACCCCACGAGCCGAAACTGGCTGCAATTCTTCCATCAGTCAGTCTCTGTGAAATCTGCTATAATGTCATGACCCAGCTGTGAACTGTTCCCTTAAAAAGCAATTCCTTTGGGTATTGGGTTTCTGATTATCCAAGACAACCAGATGCAGACAGAAGACCTGCAACACATTTCAGGTGCTGTTGAAATGCAAATATATATATAAGGTATATTCTTTCTACTTCTCCCAGAGACACATATTTCAAGCAGTTTCATTTGCAATGTGAATTTATTATGGGAAAATATTGTGTTCTACAGCTAGAAAGAGGTAACTTACTCTTAAAGGTCTACAGACTTCATCCTGATTTCTGCCTGTTAAGAACCAGGAAGACTTTAGACCTCTGTGGTTGCACAGATAGGATTGCAAAAATGCCCTGCAGTACAAGCTCCTACACTTCAGTCTGAGCTGCTCTGAATGTCCAAAAAGATGTAGCCTCTGGCTTGCCATCGTTACCTCTGGGAGACAATTTCTATTATGTCAGAGCTTTTCTCCCTGTTCTGTAATACATAGCCCCTACTGATATTTAATTATATAAACCACAACAGATGGCTGGCAGAACATTGCGGTAAGTTAATAGCAACTCTTCTAGGCATTTAGAAGCTTGAAAAACCTTGGAAGAATCCTCTAGTGTGGACTGTAACTAAAAAAAAAAAGGGAACCACAGAGATAAAATTAGAGATATTTTTGTCCTACTTAAATGTAGGACCTGTCACTGGTACCAAAGAACAAAGAAAGATTTTATTAATAAACTGAGAGTCAAGGAAAACCTCTCCCTACACATAAACTTTTGGCTTGCTTTCACAAAAGCCTCACAAAAACAAAACCGACCTCTCTCCCTGCAACATTTTTTATATGCTGCTCTTTCAAGGAAAGGCAGAGCAGCAGGTATTTCGTGGTGTCACATGTCCCATCTGGAAATTCCTGAGGGAACCTCCCAGTTTGGGATTCCAACAGAGAGCACCAGCCCAGTGTCCATTAGCAGCCAGTGGACTGTGCAGATTTGGCAGGTACCAGGTACAGGTACAGGTGTGGGGCTGGATGCCTGACCAAAATGGCATCCCATTCACTTTGACCTCGATACAAAGCTTCCAACTCATTTGCTCTACAGAGGTGAAGTTAAACGTCTCTGAAATCCTTCTCTTTAACTCTGACATTAACCTCTGAAAGGTATTTAAGTGTTCCACTCCCACTGACTACAGCAGCATTTAAATACTTCTCGGTACCTGCCTGACAGAAATTACAACTACTTGCTTGAATAATGTAAAACCCAACACCAAGCACCGTTACGCCTTTCTGTCTTCTCAGCCATTCCAAAATCCTGATATTTTGCTTGCTTTAGACCACAGCTACCAAAACCCAAGCGCAGCTTTTGCAAATCCCTTCCCCTTCACTGCTCACGTTCCCTGGCTGTGAACGAGGACAGTGATGTACGATGTGCTTTGGCTGAGGATGGCCCAGCTCTGCCAGCACCCGCCACTGCCCCGGCTGTGCCCGCTGCAGGGAATGCTGCGGGATTTCCCCCCGTGGAAAACAAACGGTGCCCCCGAGCTGTGCCCCGGTCCCCAGCAGTGATGCTGGCCAAAC